GAAGTGTCTGTTCATATCCTGTGCCCATTTTTCAATTGGATTGTTCACCTTTATCTTGTTGTGGTGAGAGAGTACTCTTAAAAGGACAAAATTATGGCTGTTTTCATTTCAGGACTATGAGAAACGGCTACAAGACAGAAATGTTATTGAAACCAAGGACCACATAGATGCTCATAGGGCCATGGTAGCCAAGTACCTACAGCAGGTAAGAAGAGTCACGCAGAAGGTGCTCCGGCCCCTTACAGTAAGGGTTTCCTTACTCTCAGACTTTTCCAGGTCATCTCATAGACCTCGTGTGGCCTTCCTCATAAATACAAGTGTGTCATTTACTAAAAGCTACCTTCACTTTTTTGAACATATGAAACTACTAGACTGTTTCCCAGCTTATTATTACTGATTATCTTCATTGGGTGAGAGCACAAAGAATTCTACTGGTAAATCATGCCTTTCTAAGATTTACGTCACACTTTTGTAATCATGGGTTGGGAAAGGAGAATAGAAAAATCTTTTAAGCCCTGTGCTACTTGACTTTATGCTGAATAAGGGGCAAAGGTGACAGTTAGCATCAGATTCTGTGTGCTTTGACGATGATGGTTGTTGTTATGTGCCGTCGAGTTGCCTACAACCCTATGTACTGCGGCTCTGAACCCTGTCCTGTCCTGAGCTAGTCTCACTGACTCCAACACACCAACCCCCACTGCAATTTACAGTTCTAATTTCATGGTAATGAATTGTTTTTCTAAACCCTGAGAGTATAACTGTCAATAAAACAGAAAAACATCCACCTTTAGGGAGCCCATAGTCTAGAAAGGAAACCTAGTGGCAGAGTTGTAAAGTACCTCTTTGCTAATTAAAAGGTTAGTGGTTTGAAACCACCAGCCACACTTTGGAAGAAAGATACACTCTTTTTCTGTAAACTTTTTACATTCTTAGAAATTATATGGGGCATTTTTACACTGTCTTAGAGGGGCACTATGAAGATCCCAATGAGATAGATTGACACAGTGACTGCAGCAATGGGCCCAAGTGTGTCAGACACTGTGAGGACGGCACAGGATAGTACGGGGCTCAGGCTTGTTCATAGCATTGCTATGAGTCATACTCAAGTTTACAGAACCTAACAACAACAACAATATGAGTGGGAATGACTTGATGACAGTGAGTTGATGGGTGAGTCTGGTGAGATCACAGGAGGTGGTCACTCTGTGGGGAACCATGAAGGGATGGGGGGCAACAGGCAAAGACTGGAATCCATTTAGGGAGCAAACCATGACGTTTCTGTGACAGTGTTGTCTGTAAAATGGATTTCTTCCCCCAGGTCAGAGAGTCTGTGATCAATCGCTTCCAAATTGCAAAGCACCACTTTCTTCTTTCTGACTTGGTAGTAGAAGAAGAAGTTCCCAACATCAGGTAAAAGCAATCAGCCATCCTATCTCCTTATTAAAGGAAAAGGTTTGTATTATGTTACAGGGAAGATAAGGAGGCCTAGTAGTACAGTGATTAGACAGTCGACAGCAGGTCTGAGGCTAGAAGAGATGGCCTGGTCTCCTCTGATAATGACAAGCCCCAAGGGAACCCCAAGAGACAGCCTGCCCTGACCTTCTAGGAGGGTCACTGTGAGTCATTGTCCACACAAGGGCACACAGCTCAGATACCGAGGGTTCTCCTCACTGTGTGACGTCCCCTGGAGGATGCTGGCTGGTGAAAATACAGCGCATGCGTCTGCCTCACTAGGCCCTTCAGTTAAGGAGATTCTCGTGGAACAAGTCATCTTGGATCCAACCCCATCACCTCCCAGCAGAATCCTTTTCTGCTGTCATTGCTTCCAAATGCACGTCACCAGCCTCAGCCACGTTCTCATTGCAACAAGCTTGTTTCCTGGTTCAGATCTGACAGGATTTCCCACTGCATATTCACCTCCACATCCACAGTTCCCCAGAGCCAGGCATCCCCTAGTTCTCCCATCCCATGCGGTGGAGAAGGTTGACCAGCAGGCCCATAAAGAGTAGAGGAGGAGGGGAAGGCTCAGGTCCACAACCGTGACAGGAGACAGAGAACTGACCTGTCTGATGTAGGGGTGGGGAGACAAATAGAGATTGACCTTGTTGTGAATGGGGCAATTGACTGTATTTGCTGGATTTATTATTTATGTAATACTTGGATTGTCTCAATAATATATGAACAATGAAAGGGAATTGCCTAAATTGGGGGTCTCATCCTGCCCACAAGGTCCCTGGGAGGCACAAATGCTTTACACCCCACTGTTAACCTAACAGGGCACTCTGGCCTAGTCCATAGGGAGTTTCCCGGCTAACCCAAAAGTGGCCCTTCTCCGGCGGTTCAAACCCACCAGCTGTTCCACGGGAGAAAGCCGGGCAAGCTCCTCCCGTGCAATTTACAGCCTCCGAAAAGCTGCTGTGACTCTGCCTTCAGTCAATTCCAACCTAGTGGCGATGAGTCGAGTACTGACACCAAGGAGCCCTGGTAATTCGTAACATGTCAGGTCCTGACCAGAAGGCCAGCAGTTTGAACCCATCCACTGCTCCATGGGAGAGCAATGGGCAGCCTTCTGCCATGAAGACCTGTAGCCTCAGAAACCTGATGGAGGGCCAGCGTGAGTTAGAATTGACTCAACCGCAGTGGGCTTCTCGCTCACCTTGAAGGTTGGTGGTTTGAACCTACACAGCAGTGCCGTGAAAGAAAGGCCTGGTGACCTGCTTCCTCAAAGAGCTCAGGAGAAAACCCCTGTGTGGAACGGTTCCACTCCGTCAAACATGGGGTTGCCATGAGTCACAATCGATTAACGGCCACCAGGTTGGGTGGGTCATTAACTCACGACTTCTTCTGTCGCAAAATCTCTTAGTCTCCTAGAAAGATTGTTTCCTGTGCCTTCCCTCACCTTGAAACCCTGTCAGGTGGGAGGGAAATGGACCCCGTGCTATCCTCCCATCCCCATGAGGACCTGTGAGCCCTCGCTCCTCATCCCAGGGCCCACGTCCTGTCATTGAATGGTTTTCAGTCGTGACAATCACACTTAGAACAGATGATGATGATGTTCATGCTGTTTCTCCTTTTCTTTTCTTTCTTTCTTTCTTTTTTTTTTTTTCCTCCGCCCTTCCCACCTCTGCTTTACTTTCTGCATTAAGTTCTGAAGGCTCAGGGTATGTTTTCTCTTCTTTTCATTTTGGTTCGTTCTTGACATGAAACTGAGATTCCTCTGTGTCTCCCAGGCCCCAAACCACGTGATTGCCATGTTGACCGCTGTGAGGGTGGCCAGGTCTCACGGGAGGGGCCGTGCATGGGAAGGGGGCAGGGGGAATCATTAAAGGGGTGGGATTTGTCATGTCACGGGCCCTGGCAAAGGTGTCCCTCTGAGATCCCCACATTTGGGGTCCTGGCAAGGAGCTCTGGTGGTGTGGTACATGGTGTGTTACACTGCTCATCGACGAGTCAGTGTTAAATCTGTCCACCAGCCAGCCTGCAGGAAAGCCGGGCATTCGCCACCCCGCCCCCCGGTAAAGATTTGCATCCTCGGAAGCTGGCACAGGGTCGCTCTGAGTCCGAATGGGTGTGTGCTGTCCTGCAGAACAGGCTCTGGAGATGAGTGGCCTGTTTTAGCCAGCTCCCTTTCCTCCTGTCAGGAGCCTTCAACAAATCGTATCATCTCTCAGAGGCCCCAGGATCCTCCCGTCAAGACCAGGGTGCATACTAGACGTTGTAAAGATTGGAAATGTTGACCGTGAAGCACACAGCCCTCTACAGAGCACCGAGAAGTGTTTTCTGAATGAGGGCTACTCCTGGGCTCAGTGGGATGCAATCCCTGGAGAATAAGTGGAACCAGGGATTCAGGGAGCCAGCGAGGGTTCATCGAGGGAGGCTCAGGGGCGCTGAGGCAGACCCTGCAGGGCCGCCATCCTGGGAGGGGGTGGGGTCCACTGTCAACTCTCAACAGGGAGGCAGCGAGCTGCTTCTGGGAGAACAGAGGGCGTAGCAGCCCTGAGCCCGCTCTGCACAGCTGGCTGCATTCTGCGGCCCTTGGGCTGTCCTTAATGTCAGCTTGCACATCAAGGTCACTGCTAGGTCTCTATTTGGTCTCTGGGCTGGAATCTAATCATTTGCTCCAAGGCCCATTCTTCTCCTGCTTCACTGACTCTGTGGCTCTGTATTCCAGGAAGCCACTCTTGAATGTCAGCTCAGTGCAAGGTAGAAAGCAGGCGAGGATCACTCTGAGCAAAGCTGCCAATCTGCTCGCTAATCTGTAGTTGACTCTCTCATCTGTCACCTGAGAGCAGTACAGATGAACTGCCGTTGTTGTTGTTCTATGCCATTGAGTCAAACCCGACTCAGAGCCTCTAGCAGGCTTTCAGAGGCTGTAAATCACATGGGAAGAGAGATTGCCCATCTTTTTCCAGTTAGAGCAGCTGGTGGATTCAAACCACCTATCTCTGGGTTGGCGGTGCACCTCTTTACCCACTAGGCCACCAGAGCTCTCTACAGATGAGTGGTTATTTTTGTTGTTGTTAGGTGCCATAGACTCGAGTATGACTCACAGAGACCCTACAGACAACAGATCTGAACTCTGTCTTAGCCTCCACCATCCTCACAGTCTCTCCAGCCCATCAATGTCATGACTGTGTCAATCCACCTGATCGAGGGGCTTCATGTCTTGCGCTGTCCCTCTGCCTCTCCATGGTGTCCTTCTGGAAGGACTAGCCTCTCCCAGCAACATACCCAGAGAACGTGAGCTGAAGCTTTGGTGTCACTGCCTGAGCCTCAGTAAGCCTGTGCTTACCACATGTACTGGGTACCTCATCTCTGTCAGAGATTCCAAATTTGAGAAAAGGTTCTATTTCTGCAATAGTGTGTGTGCTGAGGGGTCAGAGAAAGGCAGGCGGCAGCAGTCATGCTTAGAAGCAGAATGTCTGATGGGGTGGCAACGTGTGAAATTGCTCACACAGATTATTTAGGACACACGCTTGCCTGTGCTTGTCTTCTTTATTGGGCTAGCGGACCCTGGAAAAGCGACAGAGAGAAGCCTGGTTGTTCCTGGCCCTCCCGCCCTGCAGTCAGCAGCCATCCGCCTGTCTGCTTCCCTCTGCGTGATCACTGTCACTGTCCCCACGTATCCTATCCTCATAACAGGACCTCTGTAAGACGCCTGCTAGCTGCTGGGCCAGTGCACACATCTCCTCCTGTAAACCTCTCCCCGACTCCATGCTTTGAGCCTCTTCTCAGGAGGGAGGCAGTCCCTAGAGAATGACGTCATGCGTAGAAAAGCAGAGGCTCTCATATCCAGAGAGACTGACCGGTGGCCGTGACACTGGTCTCGAGCCCAGAGGCGACTGTGAGGATGGCGCAGGCCAGGTTAGTTCTGCTGTACATGAGGTCGCTATGACTCAGAACCGACTCCACGGCACCTGACCACAACAGCCCTGTGAGGTTGGGCCATGACGGCGGTATTCTTATCCCCGCTGCACAGGTAATCAGAGAGGTGAAGTGAAAAAAATCTGTCAGGTGTCAAAGGGTGGACTCAGCAGCACACCCAGTTTAATCCAGCTCCAGAGAGAGAGGTGTGTTCCTGCCCAAGACTCTCTTATGCGAGGGGGCCAGGCTAATGAGGGCTCGAAGCTCAGACTCGGGGGCACCCCCTTCAGTTGATATGGCAGACCTCGGGGCACAGGGGAGATCTTGGCCATGAGGATGGGGACAGCACAAATTAGAGACCAGAGGAGGGACAGGAGCAGGAGAGAGAGCTTTGCATCCCTCCCCAGAAGTATCTTCATGATCCACGCCAGGGCTGGCACCATTCTCGAGAGAATCTCTAGGCTGTCCCCACCCTCCTGCAAAGAGGGAAGTTAGCTCTGGTGATGTGGGTGTTACGTGTTCCACAGAAGGTCAGCAGTTTGAATCCACCAGCTGCTCCATAGGAGAAACATAAGCAGTCTCCTCCTAGAAATATTTACGGCTTCAGGAGCCCAGTGGAGGGGAAGGTCACTGGGAGTCGGAACTGACTCACTGGTGGTGGGGGTGGTTTTTTGTTTTACAAAGACAAATGAATGCCCTGGCACAGTGGGTTGAGTGTTGGACTAATAACCCAAAGGTCAGGAGTTCAAGCCCACCAGCCACTCTAAAGGAGACCCACAAAAAGGAAGCAGTCTGCTCCCATAAAGATTACAGCCTTGGAAAGATTACAGCTCTGTCCTGAAGGGTCACTGATTTGGAATAAACTAAACAGCAGTGATGTGGGGTTCACAGGGCCAGAGGGTGTTCCAGGGACCTGTGTAGATGGGGGGACAGATGTGGGTAACCGTTTCAGAGCCCTGCAGACCACTATGTCCCTTGAGTCTGACTTGCGTCCTGTCATCAGCAGCATTTTGGGCCTGAGCCTCTTCAAGCTGGCCGAACAAAAGCGACCACTGAGGCCGAGGAGGAAAGGACGGAAGAGGGTTACAGCCCAGAACTTGTCTGATGGGGACATCAAGGTGCTGGTGAACATCATCCGGGCCTACGACATCCCCGTGAGGAAGCCCATGCCCAGGTGAGCCCCCTGAACAGCCCCCAAGACCCCCACCAAGTTGCATGTTCTTCATGGCATATCCACCCTTCATTTTTTTTTATTAATTTTAATGAACATTTACAGAGATTTTGGATCTCCACTCATTCATTGTTGCGTTTTTTCTCTGCCTACCCCTCCCTCCCCCCAGTTCACTCTTCTCTTTGAAAAGTGAAAGAAAAAGTCCTTCACTGGTATACAATCCCCTCACCTTGAGTACACTCCACTATGCAACCTTCATTCTGGGAGAAGAGACAATGGAAAAGACTCATGCCATCTGTCAGTCAGAACAAGGCCCAAGGCCAGCTGTTGTGTAAGAGACTATCAATTGCTCATATGCAAGTTCAAGTCATAGGCAACTCAAGGGCACATAACAATAGCATACTGTGACAGGTTTGGACGCAGCAGTGGCATCTACTTCCTAAACAACATGCCTCCGAAAACTCTATGAACTTTGAAAATGTCAATCGTTGTAGAGGGGCTTCAGGCCTTTTGTTCATAGGGCCACTATGAGTTGTGCTCAACTCAAAAGCAATCAACAACAACAAGTTCAAGTTGAAGTTGAAGACAATTAAACAAAATCACAAGAGTCAAAGTACAGCCTTGAGTATATCCCACCTGCATTGAGAGATCAGCTCAAGAATATATTTGATTTATTGAAATCCTAATGACTGTTTATTATCAATGTTCAACAACAATGTTCCCTGGAAGAAGTATAAAGACTCTTCCTTGGAAAGAGACATCATGCTTGGGAAGGCAGAGGGTCAACGAAGGAGAAGAAGACCCTCAATGAAATTCAGTGACAGTGACTACAGCAGTGGGCTCAAATGTGTTGAATAAGTATGGCATAGGCTAGGACTGAGTTCATAGGGCCTGTTGTTCATCGTGACTCTATGAGTCATAGTAGACTCAATGGCACTTAATAACAACAATACCAATGACTGAAGGGCAGACGAGTTGTGCAGTGACATTGTTTCTCTCTCAAGTGATTGCTCTCAAGTCAGCAGAAACCCACAGCTCCTCTTATTGGTTCTCAGAGGCTGCAGACAGCACAAGAGGAAATTGCTAATCTTTCTTCCAGGGAGCAGTTGGTGGATTTGAACTTCCAGCAATTGAGTTAGCAGAAAGATCATAGCTAGAGAAAACAAAAGGTCACTTTAAAAAAAAAAAAAAACAAAACACAACAACCAAACCACAACAACAACAAGAGATAAAAGACTAAAAAAGTCAAAAGAGACTCTGAAACTTGGTCCTGAATACAAATGTAAAGTACCTAAAAAGAACAAAACAAAAATAATGACGTGAAAGTGCCAAACGTAAGATTTTAAAGGGCTGATTTGTCAAGAAGGCAAAATGTTATAGTGAGATGTACAAAAACCTAAAGTTAGAAAACCAGAATGGAAGAATATTCTTGGCATTCCTGAACCTGAAAGAACTAAAGAAAAAGTTCAAGCTTCAAGATGCAATGAATACTACATAACTGTATTGACAATTACTGACTGGGACAGAATATTGACTGATACTAAAAAGTATCAAAAGTAAATACAAAATGTGGCAAAAGAAGATAGAAAAACCATATCTAAAATCACTGCCAAAAATAATGTGTCCATGTCCCCCACTTCACAAGGTAACATATGTCTAAGAACTGATGACACAAAAGGAAGAAGTCCAGGTTGCACTAGGTTCATTCGTTGGCAAAGAAGATTGGACATACCATTGGCTCGAAGAACAGACAAATCTTCCTTAGAAGAAGGGTAACCAGGATGCTCCTTAGAAATGATGCCTTATCTCGGGCCCTTTGGACATGTTATCAGGAGGGACCAATGCCTGGAGATAAGACATCAGGCTTGGTGAAGTTTTGAGTGAGTGGAGGAGAAGACCCTCCCAGAGATAGGTTGGTACAGTGGCTGTGACAGTGAACTTGAGGATGGCAGTGACAGTGCAGAGGCTACAGTACCAGATGGTGTTTTGTTCTGTGGCTATGCGTTGGAACCGACTCTATGGCTGCTAGCAGCAACAATAACATAGACTGTTCTCAAGCATTAAACCACTTTAGTCAAAGAATTGTTGTTAGTTGTCTTCTAGTCAGTTTTGACTCATTGTTACCCATGTACAATGTAGAACTGCTCCAAAGGCTTTTCAAAGTTGTGACCTCTTGAAAGCAGACCCAGCAGTTAAGGAAGTACCAGCAGTCAGGAGCTGACTGAACCCACTGCCACTGAGTCAATTCCAACTGCTCAAAACCAGCCATCCAGTTTCTGAGTCTATTCCACTAGAACACCTTCTAGGTGACTGGAAAGGACCATCCTAGAGGGCAACTGAGCCAACCGGGTAGGAACAGTGTCTACCCTCCTAGCAACCAGGACCACACAACACAATGCGGGGCAGGGAGCATCTTTGCAGTAAATAGACTTTTCCTGCCATTTATATTTCTTCATATCTTTTTGCTTTCTAGTAAATTCCAGCAGCCATCCAGATCTTCAAGGACTTTTGGTGAAAAGCATGCTACTTCCCCGACCACCCACAGCCCGACCCATGATGCCAACTACCCCCTCGGCCAGGTGAAGTACCCAGGTGCTGCATGTCAGCTCCAAAGCTTGTGTCAGAGTCTGCTTCTGCCTCGTTTCTGTTGGAAACATGCCACATGGCAAACAAAGTCTACCTCGCCTAAGAGCAAATTTATTCCACTGACTGTTAACCACCTGCTCTTGGTTTAAAGGTTCTAGTACGTCCCTTTGTCGAAGTTTCTTTTCAACGAACTATTTGCCACACGACGACGGCTGAAGGACCGAACCCCAGCTGGAATGAGGAACTTGAACTCCCATTCAGGTAGGTGTCCTCCCCCCTCACAGGGCTATCGATGGTTCTGAAAGTGTGTACTGAGCACGGGGGCCGCTTAGAGACAAGCAGCCAAGGCGGAAGGCTTTGTAGCTGATTATCTGAAACAAGACCCGACTTCCCTATTCCAAATGTCATTATCCTCTGCTCCTACAGCTGAACTCTACTGGGGGGTGGGGGGAATGGGAAAACCGTTTGAAGTAAAAAACTCAAGTTCCTTGTCGAGACACCCCACTTCTCTCCTGGCGGTATCTCCTTCTTCACACGAGAAGCGTCTTGGCCCCCTCGTCCGCCCCCCTCGCCTTGTTTCTCCTCCTCATCTCCCCAGCTCTGGAAACTCTCGGTGCATTTGAAGCCAGTCAGTCATTGCCATGGAGCAGGGCCAACTCGCAGTGGTTCTTGGAAGCTGTAAATCACACGGGACAAGATTACCCATCTCTGTGCTTCAGAGCTGCTGGGAGATTCAAATCGCCAGCGGGTGGGTTAGCAGTGCGGCGCCCTATGAACTGCACCTCTGGAGCTCCATTTTGAGGTCCCCAGTTCCCAAAAATTGTACCGACTCCCTCACCTGCACTATATCTGCATTTTGAAATTTTGTTCAAAGGGGCATAGATATAGATATATAGGGAACCATCATATTAAGGGAAAAAAAATTATTCCAACTCATGAAAATCCAGTGTCTGTCAGCTTAGATGTGTGCTCCAAAGGATTTTAAATCATTGTGATTTTTAAAAATTTTTTATTATTATTAATTTTTTATTGATCATTAATTTTAATGACAATTTACAGAGACTTTGGATTTCCATTCATTCATTGTTGCACTTTTCTCCCTGGCCACCCTGCTCCCCCAATTCACTCTTCTCTTTGAAAAGTAAAAGAAAAATTCTTTCTGTGTTATCCAATCCCTCCCCCAAGTCCACTCCACTCTGCAGCCTTCGTTCTGGACTCCTGTCATGACAATAATACCTAATCATGTATGCCTTTTAAACAGTTCTCTCCCTCATCTGTTTCAATGCAGTATACATTCTTTATCCCATCTTTCTCAGTCTCTCCCAACCTTGTTGTAGAATGGGACTGACATCAGGGTTGGGAGGAAATTGAGCAAGATGGGATAAAGAATGTATACCCCAACCCTTTAACTTTTACAGACAGGAGACTAAAATCGGCAGAACAAGTGTCACTTGCTCCAGGCCACAGAGCCCATCAGAGATGAGCAGGGTTAGACCTGGGCACGTGGTCAGAGAGGGAGCAGACACCATCATAATGCACAGTAAAGCCAGGCTCAGTAAAGCCACTGCAGTAGCCAGCCTGCGGGTGTGCTGTCGCCAACACTGGGCCGGTGACAGCTGGCTTTGAGTGGGCTCCGTGTAGGAGAGGAGCTGAGTTTCTTTCTATCCATGGGAGGAAAGAGTGTGGAAGGTAGAGACCAGCCACGGAACAACACGAGGTTTCTCTTGGGAGGAGAGTCTTGATGGGGAAATGGCTTGGGGAGCCCAGTCGCCAAGAACATCCACATCCAATAGCAGGCCCAGCTTCAGGCCTTCAGCCCGTCCATCCAGCTAGCTCAGCCCTGGCCGCCTGCTCCTCGCACAGCTTCCCAGAGAGGGTGGTGGGGCCCCCAGCACAGGGCACAGGCAGAGGGTTGGTTTCCCTGCCCAGAGTCTCCAGGCCGTGTCCTGGCTGCTGCAGTTTCAGGATTATATTAAATTCTAGGCATGGAAGCTCTGGGTTCAATCCTAACATCAGTGCTGGGATTTGGGCACTTTTCAAGCTTGACTATCTGAGGGTTCATAGTTTCTATCATCCTGATGGTGACTTCATTTGTCCTTTGTTTCTCCACAGAGCCCCCAATGGTGATTACAGCACAACCAGCCTACAGTCCGTGAAAGACGATGTGTTCATTAACATTTTCGACGAGGTCCTCTATGATGCCACTGAGGTGAGTTTTCAGGACGACATCACTCCTCATTTGCAAGTCCTCAAAGCCCAGCCTAAGGCCAGAGCCACTCCTTCTAGGCCGTTCTGACTCACAGGAAGTCCTGTAGGTCAGCCCTACAGGATGGGCTAGAACTGCCCGTAGGACGCCCAGGGCTGTGGGCTTTGTGGAAACAGACTGACGTGCATTTCTCCAAAGGAGCAGCTAGTGAGTTCAAACCACCAACATTTCAGTTAACAGCTGAGAATTTAACCATTGTGCCCCCAGGACTCCTTCCACCCAAAAGACTCCCAAATAGATTTCCTACATTTCTGGGCTTCAAATGTTTAAAACCTCACATGTTGACGCAGTTGCTGTAAGGTGCTGTCGAGTTGAGTACCACTCATAACGACTCTATGAACAACAGACCTGAACCCTGCCCTGTCCTGTGTCATCCTCGTCTTCTGACACCCTTGAGTCTGCTGCTGCACTCACTGTGTCATTCCATCTCATTGAAGGTCCTTCTCTCTTGCGTGGACCCTCTAACTTTGCAGGCATGATATGTGAGACAAAACTTTGTCATCTTTGTAGCCAAGAAGCACTCTGGCTGCATCTTCTCCAAGACACATCTGCTTGTTCTTTTGGCC